AACAACAACAACAACAACAACAACAACAACAACAACAACAACAACAACAACAAAAAAGCAACGACAAAAAAAAAGAAAAAAAGAAAAAAAGAAAGACTTTCTCCACGTGAGTGAGATGCAGAGTTCTTTTAAAAACCGATGACAACTGCAGGTCCTTCAGATAACCAATGAATATTGCATCCTGCAACTTCCCCCTGACGATGTCATTTATTCTAACATCGAGAGCTTCGACAGCATTGGGGGCCGAACCAAGTTCAGAGAAACTATTAAAAATTTCAACAGTTTTAGATAAAATATTTGGTGCAACAGCAGTCAAAACTGTCCAAGACGGACTCCCGTTAGAGAGGAGAAAAGGTGTTGTCTTAGACAGGCGGATGTGTTGAACCGTGTCGCTATAAACTAGAAAAAACACCAAAAGGTTGGGGTTTTTTGGGGGGGGAGGGGGGGGGGGCGTTTGGACAAGTGATTGTCTTAGGTGGCCGTTACAGTATGATCAACTGCTATTTTATAACTTTGCCAAATTTTCCGCAGCCAGATTAAAACTTGGTTATGGTAACGAACTATAGGCCTACATGTGCGTATTATTATTTCATTTACTCTTTTTGTCCTGTAGCTAGCAATGTCTCTAACTTCTTTTCCAGTTTGAAAGTTAAAGGTCATCATCGGTTCGTAGCATAATTGCGTCATTTGTGTTTTTTTGAAGACAGCACGCTGTTCAAACGCCCGAAGCCCATAAAGCAGAACTTGTTTTAATGTGAGAGGAGAAAATTGTTTCATTCTTTTGACAATTTATTAATTGTACCCACGTTGCATATTATCTTTCTATGGGTGTAGCTTTTTCATCTTTTTAATTTGAGAATTTGAATGTTGGTGAAATATTTCTCTAGCTCATGCAACCAATACCACAGTTTAAGAAACTGCAAAAAGAAAAATTCAAAAGTCTGGTCTTTGTACATTTTAACTGCTGGTCGAAGGGTAATCTCTAACCTTATGGAACTGAGGGGCCACTGGAAAACAAGGTCACGCATTGCCAGAACGAGGCGCGTGTATTCTGTGGCCGGAAGTCCGTAGCCAGCCATGTTGAACATGTGGCACTGGCGCATTAGGTCCGGAAGTAGAGCCAGTCTTTTCGACTCGTCATCCGCTTCATCTATGACTTTGGGATACTTCTGTTGGCCACACGGTCCGGAGAGGTCTTTGCCGACTCCCTGAAGGAGAAATTATAAATATGTATACATGTTGATGAGGATGAGGTGGACAAAATAATGAAAAAAAGGGGGGGGGGGTGTTCTCACAATATGTTCACAAATAAATCTCCCAGTAAAGGATGTTGATGCTTTATGATAGATCTAAATGATAAACAGGATCATAATGATTCCAGAATGAATAAATGACCATGTTGTGAGAAGCCTTCATCGACACAGAAACAGAATCCGTGAGTCCGCTCCCCTCCCTAGCTCCTCAACAAACACATCCTCACACACTCACACACACACACACACACACACACACACACACACACACACACTCACTCACTCACATAAACACAAAACACACACGTAAATATATAGGGGCCTATATATATATTTAAAATATTATATATATCCCACAAAAAAACCACGAGAACAGCGCACTCCACCCATTACCCATACCACTTCGAATACCCCTTTCCCGACAACAATAACGAAGAAACGAAACGCAAAATAAAACTACATGAACTTGGAAAAATATGAAGATAAAGTAATGACAAAACTGATGACTGCGCGCGTACCAATTAATAAGTAATTTGACTATTTTCGAATTACTAACTTCTTGAAAAAGGTAAAACCGTTAAAAATTTTAGAAAGAATAACAATGTTTTTCAATACAACTTAAATAGCAGGTATCTATATCATTTCCTATGTAATAAATCAAAAAATCAAGAAATCACCTTAAATAATTCCCACTGAGCATCTGTAACACTATCTCTCTCTTCCTTGTCAGTGGCAATCTGGAGAAGAAATCAAAAGACAATTGAAATTAAAATAAAGGTGCTTTACTGTGTATACCCTTGGCAGGCTGTTCTGATGTAATTACATGTAAGCCCAAAATTGGGGTTTTATTTATTGCATATTCTTAACCTGTAGAATCAGCTACGTTTGCTTGAGAAATCTCGTCGAAATTCAAATTCTAGATGTAGAAAACAGGACGTGCAGATTCATAATGTAGGCACAATTTCTTTTTTTTTTTTAAGAGAGGGGAACAAAAGAATGAAACAGTATTTTTCCTCTCCAGACAAAAGGTTGCTTTCTTGCCTTAGAACAACTGAAAAGTCTGCCATGGAACAGTTGAAAAGCTTTCCAAAGATACGAAGATGGTCATAAATCTAACGTCCGCGCGCGCGCGCGCACGCACACACACACACACACACACACACACACACACACACACATACACTCACAAACACACACATGCACATACACACACACGTACACAAACACATTATACACTCCTCACATTTGTCTTACTTGTTCCTTAAAATGCCAAATTTTTATGAGTTTTTTTGGAGGGTGGGTGTGGGGGGAAGGGGGTTGTTGTCAAAAGCATGAACAAGCTACGTGACACACAGATGGAGTAACTTTGTGAATTGCACATGCATTATTATAATAACAATTCGTACCTTCAGATTGAGTGAGGTTTGAACCCTCTCTACCTTCAGCCTTCCACTTATGTGTTCTAGCTGCTCCGTCAGTTGGTCTGGACGTTCGGACAACACACGGCCTAATAGCTCAGACAAGTGTTGATATCTGCAGACCAAACAGTAGAGTCTACATGATTGTTGTTGTTGTTGGGGTTTTTTTGTGGTAAGATTGCATCTGTATCATGTAACTATGACATTTCCGAAAAAAAGATTTTTAAAATTAAGTTTTGGGATTTTAAAAAAAATTCATTTAAAAATATGCCGAAGGCCCAGGAAGTTGTCTCATTGACAAGGCAGTCCCCAATGTCCGGATCGGACGCGGGAATAACTTTACTTTATTTTATTTATTTATTTATTTATTTATTTATTTATTTATTTATTTATTTAAACAAACACACCAAGAAGCAAACACACTCACAGCGAGATTCCATCAACACTACTTGTTCGCATGAGCTCCGTCTTCGCGTTCTGAAGTTCCCGTTCCTCATCCGACAACATATTGAGGGAAATACTGCCCTCGCTCTCAGATGCCGCGTCTCCATCTTGAGAAACCGACTGTGTCGGGCTCGTGGGGACTTCATTCTGTCGACCTTTGCCGGGGATCAGACGTCTCTCCGGCGCCATCAATCTGTCTGTTAATATTTTTTTTTATTGCCTTTGTTTGTTTTATTCAGGCTATATTATTTATACCTGTACCTTTCTGTTCTTATTTTTCCAAATAATTTTTGGTGTTGTTGGTTATTGTAAACATCTATTTGTAGTTTTGTTTTATGCCTTTGGGTGCTTGTTTTGAGAAAATATTCACAGACATGAGCCAAACAGATAGCCAGTTAGTGACCGTACGTTTTTTGACTAAATGAAAGAAATATGGACAGATTATAGTTGCCCTGTTGCGTATATTATATAAACTCCGAGGCTTTCACTTGACTCTTTGGAAAAGAGCGCTCACTGTATCCAAAATATCCTGGTGAATCAGTTTCCAGAAACAAGAAAAACTTGTAACTTGTACAACGTTGGGACTGAAGTGAATAATGACGTCCAGTTTGGCCTGGTCCCAGGCACCTGACCACGGATATTATACGGTCAGGCAACGCGTCAAGACCTGCGTCGTTAGTTTTGGATTTTGTTCGTTGTACCTTGCTGTGCCGACAGCTCTCTTCAAACTGAATGGGAGAGAATTGTCAGTGTGTATTTGCGTGTGCAGCTGTCGATGTGTTTGTAGGCTACGTACGTGTGTTTGTTTGTTCGTGTGAGTGTTTGCGTGACTGTGTATGTATGTATGTATGTATGTATGTATGTATGTATGTATGTATGTATGTATGTATGTATGTATGTATGTATGTATGTATGTGGCTTCTTCCTCGCCCCCCCCCGTTGAAATTTATAACATAATCCCCGGGGCCCCCCCCTCCCTTTAGGGCCAAGGGGGCCCCCCCCCCCCCCCCCGCTCTCCAATTTTCCCCCTTTCCTTATATACGTATAAGGGGGGGGGGGGGGGGGGGGTAACAGATCATATGGCTTGCGTGAAGAAAATAGTCCAATATCTTACGTAGTTAGAAGTCGCTGGAGCGGTCACTTTTCCTCGCAAATAACTTTGTTTAAAGACTTGCTACCTGAAATCTGTTGGGGTTCTTTTTTCAGCGTTGTCCTCCGGTTTGTGAACCAAAAAGACATTATTTAGCTTAACGGCTCAATTTGTTTTTACATTAGTCCAAATGAGGCTCCAGTTTTTAATTTTATTTTTATGTCATAATACGCTTTTCAATTACTTGTCATAGTATTTCTAGCGAGTCTATTCTGCGTCTCAGTTCATGACCTACTGTCGAAAAAAAATCTGGAAAAAATGTACATCAAACAAATCTAGATACAAGACTTTGACTGTCTTTTTCTTGTCTGTCCCAGAAACGTCTTCTGGCTCGTTGTGGGATGCTTCTGAAACACGTTCTTTTCTTTTCTTTGTAAACTAAATCGCCTCTTGCCATAATAGGCGCAGGTGCGGCATCAAGACATCATCATGGGCTGGAGGCTACGTAGCCACCCCCCCCCCCCTCTTAATTTTTTTTTTGAAAATTAAAAATTATTTGATAAAAAATTTAATTAATTTTTAAAAATAAAATAATAAAGACAAAACATCAATCCTTCTCCCACTGAACGAAATGTTTTGTTGTTTTTGTTTTTTGTTTGTCAAATGTAGGAGTTTTACGCCCCCATCGACACAGCTTTGATAAGTTATGATCAGGTGTACTTTGACCCTGCTGAGAAAGTCAGGGATACAATAGCCGGGAGAAAGACCGAGATATTCGATAAAAATTCCCTCCACTTGGGAATCGAACTCGGGTCTCCTGCTTGTAATAACAAAACCGCTAACTGCTACAAGTTATTACAAGATGGAATAAGATAACAAGTAAATATCACAGTTCAAACGACACCCACCATCCCCCCCCGCGCTGGTCGTCATAATGTAAACGCTTAGGAACTATTATTAAAGTGTCATAATGTATATCTTATACGGGCATGCTGCTTAGCTTCGTTCCATGAACCTTGAATCCACTGGACTGAGTTATTAGGTTTCATGCTGTCAGTGTCATTGCTCCTATACACATTGCATGCCCGCCAAGGCGAACCTGAGCGAAAGTAGGCGAACCGATACTTAGTTAACTTAAATACTGTTGGGATACCTTTAGAGTAGACTGTTCTAGTCAATGATTGTAGCAAAAAGAGCCGAACTACCGTAGCAGTAGCCGGCCAGACTATCGAATTTTCTGAAATCTCGATAAAGTGGCTCAATACGCCATAAACGTATCTTATCCGAGGTCTTTCTCCTTCGAGTTTATTTTATCCTCTACTGGCTTCCATGTGGGATAGTGATAACAATTTATTTGGACATGGAAATAGGCGACATAGATAAAAACCGGGGGGGAGGGGGAGACTTCTACTTTTAATAGTATGCTGCTCTACGTTTGGCTACTACCCGCCCGCCCCTTCTCCAAATCCCTTGACTGCTTAGTTCAAACATTTTTTCAACACAAGGTTCGTTGAAAAGTGCGTTAAACCCATACACTTTTCTTGTATATGTGGTCACTAGACTGTTTTGTTTCACTGAGAGTTTTGTGGCACTTGCAACACAATTAAGTCATATAAGTGCCGAAGACTAAAGTGTTATAGTGAGTAACAAACACGAAAAAGGAGCAGAAATAAGGACGATAGATGTTTGATAGGAAAGAAGGAGTAAAACACGCCACTGCACCCGCCAACCACCCACTCACTGAATGTGGCTACCTTTTCTGTGAAGTTAAAATAATAAAAACCGATCGGAGACTCGTCTGATTTTTAAAAATAATCGAGAAAGGGTTGAAAATTTGCCACTCTGCTTTTGTACGCTCTTACTTACTTAGAGACATATTATTATATATGTGGGTGGTTGGCGGGTGCTCTGATGTGGTTTGCTTCTTCTTCTTTCCTTTCAAACATCTATCGTCCTTATCTCCCCTCCTTCTTTTTTGTGTTTGTTACTCTCTTGTAACACCTCTAATCTTAGGCATTTATATGACATTGTTTTGCAAGTGCCATAAAACACGTAGTAAAACAAAAGCATTTATTTATCGTCATCGACATCTGCACTTTGTGTTGATTGTGGGTCTACAAAGATAAATCAAAGGACGAGAGGGCAGAGACTACGTGTAGCCTAAGCACGAAGAATGTCAACAAAGTCCGGGAGCTGCATTAACTGGCAGATTTTTACAAATATATATTTAATGTGGGTGTTTTTACGCCCCCATCGATGACATTTAGGTTATATAGGAGGCAGGTTTCCGATCATGCCTGTCAGAGCCAACCGGGGCCGAGAGGGATGCAACATCCCAGCACAAAGACCAAAGATACTCGATGAAAATTTACCTCACTCGGGAATCGAACTCAAGGTCTCCTGTGCAGTGTGAGACAGCAAAGCGCCTGACCACTACACCACAAACACCAGTTGGCTGGCAGAGATATAAGAGTGTTGAAAATTGTGACTTTTATCTCCGGCATTTTCATCGTCTACTTCATACACAGTGCTGTCAGCCAAAACGATGTTAATACTAATCGTAAAGCAACAAGAACAACAACATACAATTTGCGGGAAAGCAGGACTTACAAGTTGCGTCCTCCAACCACCCACTTAACCCCATCATTCCCTTCTTAAACTTAAAAGTTCAGTTGCTTTTTGACTTATTTTGGGGGTGGGGGTGGGGGGCTCTCCATCCATTTTGTACTTTAACCTATTGGAGATGAACATTCAATGAAGATCTCGCCTCCAAACGTTAAGTGTCAAAAGGGGGGATAAACTCACAATAAACGTGACTGTACTTTTTGATCAAGCAAAAGCTGTCCACTGTACATGCGTAAGTATTCTTTTACAACTTCCTACAAGTAAAGGGTGTTGTTTTTTTTTTTTGGGGGGGGAAGGGTTACCTTCCCTTTCATTCCTCTGTACTAGTACTGGGGGGGGGGGGGGGGGGGGAGTAACAGTGGTCAAACTGGGATTGGAAGAGGGGGGGGGGGTGCAGGTAATTGAAAAAGGACCTTGTCTTACTTTTAAATTCATTCATAGCAAAGAATCCATAGACAAACATTACAAGTTACACACAACGTTTTAAGAACGAAAACGCCAAAAATAAAGTTTTGATTCTTTAATATTAATACTAACTTTGTATATAAAAAAAGGTCTTGACAAGCAATTCTTACAAAACACCTTCTTCTATTTCTACTACTACACATACACATACACACAAGCATGTGCACACATACTCGTACAAAAACTAGTAATTCATACAAGATATTAAAATTAGAAAGAGTAAAAATGGAGAGTTGTGAAAGCATCAGTCAGAAAAGGTTTCATGTTTTACATCACAAAAAAGCTAGCTCAAAAGGCTGACACTTCCATGACATACACTTCACCTCTATAACTATAACACAAACACAGAGGATGGTAAAACAGGACAACTTTGAGTACATTGACTTCTGACCATTTATAAGCGGAGATAAATCATAAGAAATGTTTGTGCTAGAACAGGAAATCTGTAGGTGACATTTTAAAGCCATCTCAAAGAGAGTTTGCCTACAACTGTATCAAAAAACTTTTACATTGCATGTAATAAAAGTAGCTCATCTTGCAGCTGACTTACTTCAGCCTCTCAAAAAAAAAAAAAGAAAGAAAAACATTGGTCATTGGTCATAATAATCACTGTTTACAACAAAACAGTACATTTTTTAAATTGCCCTTTTCAAACACTGTACTTTTTGAGCAAAATATTCTGTAATTTTCAATCCTTCAGAAGAGAAGAGTGAGGTCATAGAAATGGGAGGCATTGTGGTGAAATCAGGCGCTCGTCAAAATAATTAAATCAAAGACACTGACACTTTTCTGCTGGTTTAGCAATTGTTATCAGTATTTTTGTATTTTGGTTCAACATCTTTTATATCAATTTAAAAACTCTTTTCTCTGTGAACTTTACTGAAAAACGTTGATTAAATGCACAAAAAAGGAAATTTTAAATTTCCAAGGACTATCAAGCCACTGAAGTACCAAAACTTTGGCAGCCATTTTCTTGCTAATTTTTACCTCTGAAACCATATGACCCCCCCTCCTTCAATCGCAAATATCTTGACTTCTGTTCAAGACAGACGGGTATATTTTTTTCTCTTCAAAAGCAAGGCAAATGAACAGGCGTTAAGAAATATCAATAACTCCATATGCCCAAAAAACCTACGAGCGCCTGATTCCATCGCGCCGTGACACAATTTATGTGATCCAACAACTTGCACGAATCCCAAACTGTTGTCCAAACAAACAGTAAACAAGGCACAGCTGTAGTCCCACCACCTGTTTGTTATCACAGAGGATGTAAAAATGTAAATAGTAAATATATAAACACAGCAGTGACACTTGCAAATTAAACAAAAAGCATGAATAAGTTCACCTTTAACATTTTCCTTCCAGTCTATATTCCTCGTAATGGCATGCGTGGTTGAAGTGTAAGGAACTAAAGTGTTACAGATGGGTTCGTACACATGTCTCACACGTCTCGTATCAGTCACCAGAGGAGACAAAGACATTTTTGGCACTTATGATTATATAATAACCATTTTAAAATGTGCTGTGTGCGAAGAACATCAAAAGGAAACAAAATGTGTGCATTCAAATTCAATAGTAAGCAACAACACTTCTCACAAGAAATCTATAATAAGTAAAGGTAGGCTAATTATAAAAGAATCTTTTTAATTAAATATTCGGGACTTGCACATCAATATAACATTGATCAGGTAATAATCATACTTATTGTGTAACACACAATGTAAGGCAGATCAAAGACAAAAGCTGAACAGAGAACTGTTTTTCGTTTCTCCTTGAATTTAATTTGTTATCAGTCTGGGGTAAAGACCAAGCACAGTGCAAAGACGAGTGAGCAACAACTGTGGTCACAGTGCCCAGGAAGAGACAAAAGAAAATCAAAGTACATAATGAACAAAAACAGTCATTTTGGTACTAATGAGCAAATATCATCATTACCTACTTTGTCACTCCTTCTCCGTCTCTTATCAACTGCACTTTTGGCAAAGTGCCTTACAATGGACATATCTGGACATGTCTGTAATTTCTATTATTCTTGGCTCAATGCATGTTAACTTTCCACAACATCCAAAACATACAAGCAGAAGTGGTCCTCTAATTTTGATGAAAAATCAACATTACTTTCAGCACGTAAATAGATTGAGAAAAAAGATAGATAAAAAGAAAGCACAGTAATCGGAAAATGTATGCAATACAAAGTTAGAATATAAACATTCATAATCAACAACCCACACAAAAACTTCCAACACTCTTCAAAAGCATTGAATTTGTTCAGCACTCTCAGAGTACTTGTTATATAACAGTTATTAGAACAGAAGCTCATTGCTCATTGGTGTTCCTTTCAATACAGTGACTGCAAATATTAGAGAAATGAAAATCAAAGCGAAAGCTGCCCCTCATAATATTTTTTCCAATTTATATAGCAAGAAGTGCAACATTTCGATGTTCCTCCCACAACATGAACCTCAGTTGATTCCCATTATTCCTATTGGACCAGACAACAATAATCATATAACACTACTCTTTCTGATCTGAACCTAGGTTAAAACAGACCATGATTGTTGGGATCTATAAATACATGCAAGAGTAACTCTTCATGGTTCACGACAATGAGTGTCCAAAATGGATTAAAAGTTGACATAATATTAAAAAATTGGTACATTTTGACCATATTTGACGAGAGTTTTGCTTATATTTTCTTGAAAGACTCATTTCAGGTATCCAAAAAGGGTCTGACAGCCAATGGAATTTTGTATACTGAATAGGTTAGGTAATAACATACTTCTGACGCAATGCTAACAATTGTCATAAAAATACATGCACTCTTTAATTTCAACATTTGACTGATTAGAAAGACACACACACACACTATGTACATAATATACTGGTTTCAGAAAATATCAAACCTAATATATTTCAATGGACGGAATGCTTTGACTAATATAACAAAGATCTTGGTGCGTATATTGACATTGTAGGCCTACTCATCCCCAAACCCCACAGACAGAGCAGTAAGAAATACTTTTGCAGGACAGTAGGATCACACAAGTTTCGCTTACAGAGGCTATACTATAAGTGGCAGACTAGTTCAAAAGCACAATGAGAACTAGAACTGAAAAAACAAAGTCAATTCAAAAGATGAGTTCTTCAGGATATCAAAACCATGAATCTATGAGCTGATCTGTTTCGTTAGATGGAGCCTAGTTCACAGACATTAGAAAGTAGTCTATCTGAGAATTGCTCAGAATCAGTAGAAACAGGTGATGTTTCCGTTTCAATCTTTATAAAAACTTTTTTTGAAAAAAGAAATTCTTTTTGGTTGGTTTGTCTAGTTCTAGGTCTGTCTGTAAAACTTGAACCAAAGACCACAACACACTGGCTTGAATCAGAATAAATACTTATTACCAGAGACCAAAGTTTTTGAAGTACATTGAACTTTTTGATTACAAGAACTAAATGCATGGGAAACAATAAAAACATAAGCACTGTTATAATGTTTATGAAACAAAGAAAATCACAGTCAAAAGCTTCAGCTGTTTTGTGACATTCAAATCATTCAAAATATTACATGAACTTGCATTTAAAAATAATTTGTCCGATTCCAACTGACTTGTCGGTATCAAAAAGAGGTTATAATACAGATGTGTAAAAATATCAATTTTATGCCTTACGAGTAAACAACTCTCGATCAAGTCTATGACCTGGCGTACATCCCGATACCCTACAATTCTTAACTTAACTATATGTTGGGTAAAACCTATTAACATGTTTAAAAAATGCGAGATGCTGCAGCATTTAGAGAAATTTCAGTGCAATAGACTTTATTTCACATGATACAATACAATCTCACTCTATGTCACATGATACAGTACAATCTCATGAGCTGGATTAATTTTTCACAGCAAATAACACAATTGTGATCAAATAATAAAGACCAGAAGTAGTTTCTTCGAACCTTCTGTGTTTAAAATTTCACTATTTTTGAAAAACAAAATAAATATTGGGATAAAAAAAGGACACTGTTTTTTTAAATTAAAGCATATTATCAAACAACAAAATAAATATTGGGATAACATTTTTAAAAACCCATCCACAAGACAACAGACAATATGACTTGATGTCAGAGCATACATGATCCAATATACCTGAAGACGATGTCTTATTTGTGCTTTGTTCTTTGATCAGTTGCACATACGGAGACAGTTTCAAATGAGAAAGAGAAAAATTGAATAAAAGCGTTATCACAGTGCTAAAATATGCAAATAGATGAATATAAATGGATTCAAAGAGTTTAATATAAAAAAACAGTGGTTGCTATAAATACAAAGACAAACATAGATTGAACAAGAAAGTAAAAGAAAACTCAGCTCACAGGATTTTAAAGTGGGGGTAAAACCTTGTCCAATTCTGTAGAATGTGAACAATTATAGCCATTCTAGCTTGATTATTCAGGGTTGAAACCAGTTTGACTCTGCCTTATCCAGTTTCTGTCAAATGAACACTTGTTCTATCTAGGTAAAGTACCATATAGCAGCCTTTAATTTCCATCATCGCAAGGTGGAGCTATTGGTGCTGCTGATTCGAAAAGACAACTCAGTTTTGCTTTTAAAAAAGTTAGCGGAAGCATTTTCATACTTCTGCTTGAATAATAATATCTTTGGGAACTTGTCAAGAGCTTATAGCTTTTTACTTTATTTGAAGCACAAGACAAAGATAAATGCCTTTTATCTCTCTCATTTGAAGTCATGAGTATATATACTATTTATGACAATAAGCCAAAACAATGAGATGGTTTCGAGGCGAGTTAATGACCTGGCATTCCTCTGCTCAGTCACTTACTGCTGTGACAGAGAGACACTGTAGTAACAGTATCAAATTGAAGAACAAAAACACTACTCTTATCTAGCTTGTATACCAGTATGTGTACCATTTAAAACTGCAGTGCAATGCCTAACATACATTCTAACAGGCTTGCTTCATAATATGTTCCTTTAGCTTCCTGTCCTTCAAAGCTTACTCAAACTCAAAGAGACTGAAAAACTAATGTCGTCATGAAGCGTTTAAGCATGGTGGAGACCTCCTTACTCATTTGCACAAAGCAACTGAAACTAACTATGATGAGGTAAAAGACGAATATAAAAAATTGCACTGTATCCAGGTTCTAGCTTTGAAGTAGTCACAAGTCACCCAGCTCAATTCAACAACAAGGAAAAGGTTTGATTTCCCTTAAAGCAATGTTTTTAAGTCTTGCATCTCTTTTGACAGACATCCCACACCACTTCAAACTTACTCCCTGAGCCAGTTTCTTGTAATTCAATTTACCATGACCGTCTCAGAAGCATCTCAAAAAGTATCTTTCACTTTTCCCAACTAATCTAACAACATGAACTCCAAACCATAGGGCACGGAATCAAAATGTGAACTTACAACTAAAAGTCTGACATCTTGACCATGAGACGAGGATGTCAAGTACTCTGGTTAGTAAAAATATCTCTGAAAAGTTATAATCTTTCAGTGGTTTCAGTAGTCCTGCTCTTTGGTCAAGTTAGCATAAACATAAAAATTCCATCACCGGACAGACAAACTGAATGTTACAAATACAATATCACATTACGAAATGACTGAGTGACACTTGTTTGATGAATCAATGAGTAGCAAAATTATGCTTGACTAACTGAAGACAAGCTGCATCTTTTGACATGACTAAGTCAAACTGACACAGAACATCACTAAACGTAATACAAAGTGGTTTTCAAAAAACAGCCAACAACTATGCGTGTATAGGTAATTCGAAAGTTTCACTCTAAATTAGTAAATGTTTAGATTTCAATTTGTCTATTCGGAAGAAATTTCACGTTAAAAAGTTGTGGCTGAATGGCTACTGCTGTTAACTCTTTAATGTGGGAGACGCATATGCCGATCAACAGTTGACCAAAAGCAACATTGCGACACATTTTGAACCATCTTACACAAATTAGAAATAAAAATTTGCATATTTCGTACCACCATGCATGTTGTTGCCTGCCTTTTTACTTTTCAGACAAAAAAAAGCAAATAAAAAAACAAACAATTAGAACATATGTATGACAAAAAGTTATGCTTCTTGTTTAAAGTGCCCAAAAACAGGGCATCTTCAAGGAATTAATTCCTCTGATTCACAGTGGCAGCTCTTGGCACAGAGTCCAGAACTATGGGAGAACGATGATAACCACTGAGTTTTAAAAAACAATCTTCATGAACAAAACCTCAAAAAAAATTTGACTTTAATAACACTTAGATCTACTAAGTAATAAACAGGTAAGAAAATTCCCTTCCCAGTAAAACAGTAGTCTTTCAAGATCTAGCTTTGAATGAAAGAAAAACACTAAAAACTTTACATAAAATAACAAATAAAACTTCGGATTGGTGGGGTTGCATTGCCTAGGTCCTTCAAGGCCGTGAAAACAAAGATATAGAGGTATCAAAAACATTAAACCAGGAATCCAGCATACTTGGTAATTCTTTGGCAGTCTCTTATTCGGTTGAACTTTTAAGATTCCTCTCCCAAGTATATTCTTGCAAGGGGCTCAAACTTTCATCTCACAATAGGGTGGGATCGACAAAAAGAATATAATAAAAGCAAGGAGGCTTTATCACAACTAACCCACCGAATATTTTGTTATAATCAGAGACTTAAATAGGTACAGCATCATGGCATGGACAGAACTTTAAAAGGAAGTCTTGTTTTTTAGGAGAAAGTAGAATGGGGAAGACAAAACGAAACAGGATTTCGGAGAAAATTCAAGTACTGCAAAAAAGGGGGGCAAAAAAGCAGCAGAAGTGGCGAGAAAAAAAGAAAGGTGAAAAAGACTTAATCTTAAAAAAAGAGAGAAAAAGAGGCGGCGTGTGTGAGAAGCAGCTGGTAAAAGAAAAGAAAAAGCTGGAATGTCCAACATGTACAGCGACAGGGTGCTCAGTCGGGGGACATAACTCTTGTGGCAGTATCCTGCTTGAGTTATCTCCTTTGGCTTCAGGCGTCGGAGCCAAAGCCTCCCAGGTCGGTGAAGTTGAGGGTCCGGTAGCGGGGGCTGGTGGTGCCGTTCTGGGGAACGGAGGATTGGGCGGGGCCAACCTTACGGCCATCTTCGTCAAACAGGAGTTCTCTGTCCTGATTTGTTAAAAAACAAAACAAAAAATAAGTTTAGTTTTAGTAAGAGTATTACGGCACCTGCAACACAATAAGGTCATACAAGAGCCGAAGATTAGAAATGGTGAAATGGTATGAGTTTAACGCCCCTATCAACACTATTACCGAAGATTAGAGGTGTTACAAGAGAGTAACAAACACAAAAAAGAAGGAGGAGAGATCAGAAAGATGTTTGGTAGGATAAAAGGAGCAAACCACACCAGAGCACCCGCCCACAACCCACTCCCAATACAAGTCTGCATTTGATTGTTCAAGTAAAGAGAAGCACATCAACACAATAATGGTCATTTAGTGCTGGGGAAAGGTAAGATAGACCAACTGAAACGAAGGGGGGGAGAAAACAAGTTGGACCTACCAGTAGCCCCCCTCCAACCACACACAACATGTTTGTTGGCTGTCAACATTTGACAAGCAAGAATCTACATAAATCAGATATACCTGTTACAGTTAAACCTCTGCAGTCTTCAAGAGATATCAAAGGTGCCTACTGACTAACAAAAAAATGTCTGAAACTCAGGAAAAATGTGGAAATTTTAGAAATCTGGATTTCAGGATATATCCAGAAAATCTGCATTTGCGAGATGTACATGCAGATTCCACTCTTCCACAACGTACATTTTCTAAGGACCCAAGGCCAAGCTATCTTTTCTTGATTCATGAAACATGGTAACAGTAACAGCCCAATTTTTGCCTTGAACGGCTTGATAAAGTAATGCTGAAAAGGTGCCCAGAACAGACTAGATTAAGTAACATTGAAAAGATGCCTTGAATAGATAGGATTAAGTAACACTAAAAAGACACCTTGAATAGATTAGATTAAGTAACACGGAAAAGATGCCTTGAAAGGTCAGATTAAGTAACACAGAAAAGACGCCTTCAATAGATTAGATTAAGTAACACAGAAAAGAAGTGAACAGACCAGACAAAAACAGAACACTCACCACCTAGAAATCTAAAAACAATTTCATACCTTTACAAAGAAAATCAAACACACACACAGAAGACATTTTTTTTCTACTGTTAATGATTTCTTGCTGCTTGTGCTGTTGTAGACCAAGTGGAGCCAACTCTACACAACTGTACCATCTCGACAAGCTTCATACAGAGGGAGAAAAATAACCAACTCCTCCCATACAAGGTGGACTGCCATACTGAGACCCCCTACATACTGTCAAACATGCTCTCAAGACCACCTGTATAGGACAATCACCTGTACAAACTGCCATTTCATATTTTCTCCCTTACTTATTTAAAAACATTATAATTATAATGACACTGTGTAAGATGGCCACCTGTCTAATAAGGCCACTTTCTTCCCGACAATTGGGTGGGGGGGGGGGGGGGGACGCATTTTAGACAGTTTCTACTGTAGTTTAACTCTAGCAATCATGCTGTGACCACAATGGCCAGCAACCATCTCTCAAGACCATTTGCACTGAACTTACAGGACAACAGCCTAACATATTGTCATCTCCCAGACTTACATTCTTCTACTAAATAAAAGTAACCAAGCAAAATAACATGAACATGTCAACAGAAACACGATGGAAACAGCCTGAACGTTAATAATCCAAAACATAACTGCAAGTATCTTTACTTCAACAGATGTGCAAGAGAAATCTGAACACATGTATATAGTACTAGTACACTATTCAGAAGAATGGCATGGAAATAGCGCTTGATGCATAAAGCTAGCATTATATTTTAAGTCATAGAGATAGATGCATAAACAAAATACAGAAAAAGTAAACAAAAATCGAAGATGTAGAAACCAACACCGTATATTTCATATGCAATTTTTGTCCAAATCCATGAGAGAAAAAACCCCCCAAGAAGATATTTCGTAAAAGGTATTTAGTAAGTAATCAAAGCATGCTAAGGAATATTAAGGTTAATGGTATGTTAAATAAGATATAGACAATTTATAATATGTATACTAAAATATTGCTTCCTGAATGATGGCAAAAAGCAATAGGAAATCTTCACTAGATAGCAGACTAATAAGAAAGAACAAAAATATGCGCTTTGTCTCTCACAGGAACCAGAGGGGGCAGACGAAATTAAGCAGAGACAAAGCAGCTGTTGACCATCTGCAAACTCGATAGAATGTGAGGCATCATGGTGATATCAGGCGCTCGTCAAAGTAATAAAACTGGAGAAATTGACATTCTTCCGGCGGTTTAGCCATTTTTGTCTAAATTTTGTACTCTGGCTCAACACCTTTTATGTCCTTTTAAAAATACTTCTCTGTGTAGATTTTACTGAAAAACATCGATTGAACGCACAAAATTTGTACATTTTTTGTTTCCAAGAACTCTCAAGTTTTAGAAATCGCCAAACTTTGGCAGCTATCTTCTCGAGATTTTACCTTTGAAAGTAGGTGATCCCCACCTCCTTTAATCGCAAATATCTCGACTTCTATTCAAGATGGACGGGTATCTTTTTTTTCACCGAAATCAAGGCAAATGGACAAGCTTTCAGATGCTACCAATAACTCCACATGTCCTAAAATCGATGAGAGCCTGATTCCACCGTGCCGTGACACATACGGAATCTCTGGTGAGTCACCTAGCAACAATATGCCGGTCCAGAAAGCAGTAATTTTTCACCAGTGATGATAGTAATGTAAGTAAATGCACATGATTTTAATTTTCTAAATTTTTCACACAAAAATTTGGTTTAGTACTTGTCCTCTGTGGACAGTTTTAATAAAAATGATCTGGCACGTGAATATATTTTTTATTTGAATAGCAGCTCCTGAAATCAGTCACGATATGTATGTATATATGTAGTGACAGTACCTCATCAGGGAACTACTTTTTTGACAATTTTCTGGTATGCATTAGTCTAGTAGCCACACGATAGCATAAAATGCAGGCCAAGAGAGTACAAATTCAACTGTCTATTGTGACAGAATAGTAGGCTACCTACAGACTTACATCTCTCTTTCTCTTTTTCTCTCCCACTGTGTGTGTGTGTGTGTGTGTGTGTGTGTGTGTGTGTGTGTGTGTGTGTGTGTGTGTGTGCGAGTGTGTGTTTGTGTGTGTGTGTAGATTTATATAGACCAGGAGTATGTATATATGTTTGTGATCAAATATTTAAAAAAATAATAAAATAAAAATATCTTTAAAAATGATTTGTTAGGAGAAAAGGAGTGTGAGGGAGGTGTTCAAGAAGACTACAGAAACAACAACTATGGAAGCGGTTAGAGCTTTAGGTCAAGGCAAAGGATGATGATGCTCATACTGGAGGAAATATTTTCCAATCAAAAAGAAGAAAGAAAAAAAAAAAAAAGTAGGGATGAAAAGGGTGGTTATGGGAAGGGAGCGGGTTTGGAGATCTTAAGAAAACTCAGAATCATTCTTTACTACAAAAAAGCTTGAACCTAAAGTTCTGTAAACGCTCAGAAAAACCAAGCATGGCTGAGCTTTTGTCCACAAAGCCTACAACCTAAAAAAAGCTAAATGAGAGGCTAATGCACATCAATTAAAACACATCAACCTACAAAGAAACTTTTTATCACAATCTCAGGAGTACAGGAAGAGGTATGGTGTACTCAAATGCTTAGTTTGTTTGAGTAAAGAAAAGCATATTGACACAATGACACAATAACCATCCTTTAGTGATGGAAATGAGTAAGACAGACAGACAAAAACAACAGAGTGGAAGTATATAAGTAGGACCTTGCAGTGGCGCCCTCCAACCATCTGACTACTTGGTTGCAACCAAAATACCAACTCAATAAAAGTCATTAATAAAAATAGGGATTTCGGGGAACCAACAATTAAATCGTTAATCTAATCTAACTTTCCACCCTCCTAGTTGTGAAAAAGAAAGGGAAAGAAAGTAACCTAAAGAAAAATCTCAAAGAAAAAAGCATTTCTCGCAAAATCAACAATTATACGACTGGTTTACTACTATCAGAGTAGAACAAAACAACCCAGAAACAAGCAGCTAGAATTTGCTTCTTAGAAGTTTTCAATCTGTGTTTAAGATTTTCATTTGCAATCCACAGCAAAAGACTTCTATGACAGACACCTGTCAGATAATATTTCCACTAGCATAGAACCAGGACAAGCAAAGTAAGTATTTCTCTGTATTCCCCTGCCTATGCAACTGATTATTTTAATTGTTTATGGACAAGTAAGACTAGTATCAAGGTTACTTTGACTTTGAGAACAAAACATACAGGGGAACGAAAAATACTGATAGAAAATTGAAAAGTATGAGTTAAAAAAGCCATATGAAGTCTCAGAAGTGCTTTAAAGTAACAAATATCTTCAAAGCCAATCTAGGAGCCCCAGTGGCCGAGTGATCAGTGAGTGAAATCAGACTCAGAATAATGTCAAGCACAAGTTGGAGACACGGCATTTAGGTGGGTGGGGTTTCTGGGGGGTGTCCTTGAGAAACACAAGATAAGCCTAGTTCCAAACATATGGCACCACAGTGTGGAGACCAGTCATGACATGTGCGTGTGTGTGTGTGTGTGTGTGTGTGTGTGTGTGTGTGTGTGTGTGTGTGTGTGTGTGTGTGTGTGTGTGTGTTTATGTGTGTATGCCCCAACTCAGAAATGGCATTGCATGTATGTTACTTTCTTTGAGTTTTGGTCTTCTGACAAAAAAAAAGAAAGAAAACCGATAACTAATGACTAATGACAGAGCAACATGACCGGTATCCATACCCCAAAACCATCTGTGCAGTACAAAGAAAATGTGAATCTTGTGGACTTGAGGGCCGGGGAGGGGGTCCATTACCTGATGTTCCATTACTTATAAAGTTTATGATCAGAGAAGAACAAACAACTCCAGTAAAAGCAGCTGGAACTTGCTTTTTAGAAGTTTTCATGGTTCCAGATTTTCAGGTTTAAAGAAAAAAACAACTCTTCAGCCAATTAATATGAATTAAAAAGCAATTTAGTCACTTTTGAAAATGATACATTTCTATTTAGTACAAAGATAGTTTAAAAGTTTTTTTAAATGCTAGTCTGAATAAAAGCCATTAATATTTAGCTAATGAAAATATTTGTATAAAGAAATTCAATCTCTGATGCACCTGATCTATTTCTGCTTATTACAAAGATGAACAGTAAAAGCCTTTAAAAAGAACCGGTAAAATTTTTTTCAATTACATAGCAAAGAAAATAACATAAAAGGTTAATGACTGAAATGTGGGAAACACTGCATTTTTTCTGTTAACGAGGAACATAAAAAAAACAACCCTGTAAAAGACATTCTTTTGGAACCTATTCCACTAGAGGTTTAGATATTAACTACAGCATTCCTAAAAGTAACTTTGAGACTATCATTTTCAAATAGTGAAAATAATTTACCATTCTGTCAGTGCTATATCTTAAACGGAATTTCAAGGCGACAGTGCTTGTATGAGAAGAAAGGCCAAAGAAATCAGAATCAGGTTAAATAAAATGTCCATGTCAGGCTCAATACCTACACAAAAGTTAGTTTTTAAAAAACTGGCTATGAATAAAGAAAATGCACCTCCTTTAGTGTCACTTTTCCAGCTATCCCCCACCCTAACCCAAACATATTATGTTCACAGACCAGGAGCAGAAAGAACAAGCAATATTTTTAGAAAAATGCATGGCCTGCAGTTTGCAGCACTGTGCATACAACTGATAAATATAAGCAAAGCAACAATCTAAAACAATTTAGCTTACAACTGTACTTATTTTCGGTAAGCCTGGTGTCTGAATTAATCTTTAGAATAAATAAAAATGCCAAAGAACATGATTTTTTACATAACAGCTCATCACAAACTTAATGTCAACATAAACCATTTAAATCATCCCCAAATGTCAGTTGGCTTGTTCCAGTTTCATATTTTCTTAGACATAAAAAAAATTATTGAGCTCTGAGCTGCATTCCGTGACATACAAGTAAAGTGCACTTTGACTCCAGGAAAAAGCTGACAAGAAAGAAGGACTATTAAAGTCACTGTGTGAGAAAAACATGTGACACTGTACGATTGTGGTCATAAGAGTTTAAAAAAGAGTCAGCCAATTATGAGATTCATGTCTTTTGCATTGGAAATGAAAAAAAAAAAGCATGCATCAAGTACTTAAAAAAAAAAAAGTAAATGGTATCCTTTTCACAAAAATATATAAATTTCATAGGCTGCTAACAAATATTTTGGAAAAGACATCAGGTGAATAGGTGCTCAATTTCAAGATCCAAGCAATAAATGGAAAGTTTGAACTGGGCATTTTTTCCCCTTCTTTTTGACTAAAGTTTAGTTCAGACACACTGAACGGCGCAAAGGGAGTATCATTAGCAAAAGGGTATCACAGGGGACCGGGCATGCAAAAAAAGTGTAAACAAATACCCTGTGGTCATTCACCACTGGTGAACTCAGATAAATCCAGCTGAAACAATCGGATGACAATCATCAAGTAGTTGGACATATACCCCCACCCTCCACCCCCTCTCTTCCTCCATCTACATCTCTGTATGCCATCCCGATTGCTCGTCTTTTTCTGTCTGTCTGCCTGTATGCCTCTTTGTCTTCTTTCATTCTCTCTCCTCCTCTCTTTCTTTTTCTTTCCACATGCGCACGTGTCAGCGGTAATCATATACACAGCCTTCTTCCTTTTAAAAAGTCCTTTTAATGCACTAGTTAAGCATTTTCATATTTGCCTTACTCTTATATTATTTTAAAAAACCCATAAACCTACAGCACAGCTGCTTTCATAACTTGTTCATCTCACACAGGCACTTGCGGTAGAGGGGGAAGGGGCGGGGGGGACATACAGGCATGCAAGCCTGCACAAACACACACACACTCTCATATATACTTCCTTCTACATGCTTTTTGATATGTAGCTGTAGAGTTAATTGTGACCCTAAATACAGAGAGAAAAATAAGGGGGAAGAGAGGACAAGTTCGAAGAAGAGAGAAATGATTTATGAACACACAGAGATAATGAACCTCAGATTTTCATTCTGCTAGCATGAGCAAAAAAAATTTACACTATGCTCAGAAAAATGATCACTTTTTATGAGAAGCTGGAAAAGAAAAAACAGCAAAAGACATTTTATTTACGGGGTGGAGCGAAACAATAAATTTTAAAATCAAAAACAAAAAATGGGTAAAAAAACCAAAAGGAAACAAAACCACAGAGCTGTTAACACTTAAATGTCCATTGTACATTCAACACAGATATTGATGTGTACTTATAGTTAAATAATATTACATGAGTACTTATTATACAAAGTAAAGAAAATATTTGGTAAAAACAAGAGAGTGGAGCGAATACAGTGAAGAAAGCAGAGCTCTTCGTGCTGGAAAACCCTTTTCTGATGTTTATCCTTATCTTATCTTTATGAATCACTTCAGCATTTATAGAAGCAGTTTTAGCTATCTTTTAAGGATAGTCGTTAATATTCTGCGATATGTACTCATTTTGGATTCATTTCCTTACAGTGCTAGTACAGGTACTAAGTATGTCTTGTCTATGATTTCAAACTTTTTTGCTAAAAAAATAAAAAAGCCTGCTTTGATGGTCAGAATTGAAACTGAGAATGGCTTGTCTTCCGCCACAACTTTGACATGCCTTCATGAAGCTCCTAAAGAATGAAAAAAAGATATCTCGCTCATGATAAGCTATGTATTTGCAATTGAGAAAGGAGTCCCATCTAATCTATCCTTTTGTCAGTTAATCCACAAAGCATTTGATGTAGAAGAAATTTCTAGAGCAATCACACAGACTAATGAAAATTCTATACGGTACACTCCAAAAAAATGTGGGATTATTTCCACCAAGAGAAGAGTGTAGTGTGTGATTGCAAGCTATGGCACAAACGTCTAGTAAATTTCCAAACTCAGCACCGCTGCACTCACCCGTCGTATCTCGATCTCCTCACTGCGGTTTAAACGTTTTCTTCTCCTACGATCCTGTGCACATGAAAACAAATTGAAATTGTGTAAGATTCCAGGACCTTCAAGTCTTCATTTATGAGTATTCAGCAATTCATCAATCTACATAACAAATTTACATTCTGCCCGTTACCATGGTTCAACTGTTTTAGTAAGTTAAAAGACTGAACCTCACACCATTTTTAAAAACACCAAAGTACGTTCAGACTGCCACTCCTTTGCTGGAATTTTTTCATTTACCTATATCTAGGAACATCTGATCTTGGAATATCAACGTTCATGTCTTCCCATGCGAGCCACAAGTATGTTTATTCACTAATAAGACTTCTGTGTTCAGAAAAAATGTTGATTCACAAATGCAATGCAAAGCTAGCCAAGAGTCAAAATTGTAATCTAATATTTATATTCTTCAGCAGACTACATCTAATCGTAGAACAATACAAGGAATTCGCTTTTAGACTAGAATAAACTAACAGACCAACACTAGTACTTTACAACACACGACCTCAGTGCTTTCTTGTCGTTTCTCCATTTTTAATAACAGTGAAAACAGTTCATAACAAAGAGTGAGCTTAAGAAGAAGTCACATTTTCAATGTAAAAAAAAAATGGAGATACGACAAGAAAGCACTGAGGTCGCGAGCAGCTTTGCAACACTATCAGTTTTGCACAGAGCAAAAGTGTAAACCTCAGTGTACCCGAGATGGCAAGGGTTTACTAAAGGCAAAGGCAGCCCCACTTCAAATCCCAGCCAGTACTTCTTGAACCTGGCCTGTCTGAGCGATTTTTATTGTTCTCCACAAACTTTACTGCTGAACCTTAGGCACTGCCTCTAAGATAGCCACAAGATTGAATGGGCATTAAAATCCAAAGTCAAACCAGATAATTTTGAAGTGGTAATTTAGGATCTGACTCTTTCCTTACCATGCATGATACAGCAATGCTGGCTGGGATCCAGAGGATGAGGCTGAAGACAATTACGCATCCCACCAGGTTGTCACGGAAAAACTTAACTGAAGAAAATCAATAAGAGTCTCCACTTCAATTTTCAGTCCAAAGTATAAGCCTCTATGAACAACATAAACCAAACCAATGATAGTACATAACAAGATGGGCCACTTCTCTCTTTGAGCCAATTAAAAAAGTGTCCTCCAAATTTGGTGGCGCCCTCTTCACAAAAGCGCACTCTTTGCGAACAGAGTTACCCTACCTGAGTTTTTAAAAATCAAAGTGAAACTAGCAAGTTTTGGGATCAATTTCAGAAGAACGCTTTTTTAAAATGGTTACGCTGACAAAAAACCTCTTCCGGAGGAAAGGGTGATGGTTTTCTTTGTTTAATTTGACTTTAGAATGAAAGGCGAGAGGTCATTAAAATAAAAAAAAAACTTAAACTCCGCACTGAACATACCCGAACTGCTGATGAACAGCAGTCGATCTGCGCACGCAAGGAGGTGCTATTCCTATTCTTCTTCTGGAAAAACGAAAGAGAGCTTCAAAACAGACTGCAGCGCCATCTGAAGCAAAGAGCATACTTCCTGCGGACACTTTTTTGGCTGAGTGACCCATCTTGTTATGTACTATCTTTGACCAAACAAAGAACCAGGAAGCAAACAATTTTAACAAATGAATTCAGCTCTTTAAAAAAATGAATTCAGCTCTTTAAAAAAATGAATTTAGCTCTTTAAAAAAATGAATTCAGCTCTTTAAAAAAATGAATTCAGCTCTTTACTAGATATAAAACAGACATACTTAAGGCACGGCAGTGGGTCTACGATTTTGTTCCAGTCCTCCCTTTTGTTGATACATCAGCATGAAATAGAGCTGGAAAGTTTTAGTCTTAGTACAAGTTTTACAACACTTGCACCAGAATTAAGATTAGAAGAATTACTTAAAAGTAACATACAAAAAAAAAAAAAGGAGGAAAGACAAGGACGATAAATGTCCGATAGGAAAGAGGGAGCCGACCACACCACATCACCCGCCAACCACCCACACAGCAAGAAAGTACAAACAAAAGATGTCACCCCAAACTCCAGAAAATTTTAGGCATATCAGTAGCATTCCAGAAGAAATTAGACTGCACTGATACACCTAATGCAGAGAGGATGGCCAGTTGAAAAAAAATTCTAGGCAATGATCGAGCCACTATTTACCTTTTTCTGTTTGTTACTGGCAACCTTCCTCTAACACACACAAAAAACCTTAATTTTTAAAAGTGTTTTTTTTTTAATAAAATTTTTAATCACCGTTTGGAATTTCTTCAGCAGGTCATCATCACCAAGTTATTCCTTTTTAAAACGGTCTCATGTTATATGAAAAGGCCAATCAAGACTGCAAAGAAGTACAAGAAACAGACCAACCAAACTAAAATGAACACCAATCAGCTGATGAACAGCACTAACAGAAACGTTAACAAGGTATAAAGAGACATGAGAATATCATTATCACTACATTTAAGCCTGCAAAAGAACATCGTTCTGCCACAAACCTAATGGGGTTTACCTATAATCACAAACATTGCTATCCTTTAAAATTGAAAAAAAATTTTTTTTAAAGATTTAAAGCAACCTACCCAGTCCCCCCCCCCCCCCCCCCCCCCCCAAAAGGGGGGTTTTGAGGGGCCCTTTGGGCCTTTTTCCGGGACGGGGGGAAGGTTTGACAATGTAATAGATTTTTTCATGCATGAAAAAATGAAAAACAGATTCCCATTTGAAGATACAAGAGGCATCTATACTCACTGACAGAATCCACATCTAAATTGTCAAATATGCTGAAGAGCCTCTGAATTAGGGACCCCCCCCACCTCCCAAACTTTTAAAATGTCACTATGATAATTTTTCAAAGACAAAGTAATAGATTTTTAGTATACGAAGAACAGATTTCCCTTTAAAGATAAAAGTAAAAGAGGTTTCCATACTCACCAACAGAATTCACATCTAAATTGTCGAAGATACTGAAGAGCCTTTGAATTGTGGACTCAGAGCTAGCCTGACACACAGCCTGGTGGGAGGTTCGGTTGAAAAAAGAGATTGGACAAGATAAAATGAACTTTATTACCCAAAAGAAAATTTTCTCTCTCATTTACTGACATCACCAATCAAAGACAAGTGCACTGACAACACAAATAGAACACAGTAGATATAATTCACGTATGAGAAATGTCTCTTTTTTCTTTCTTTCCTCCTGCCTTTCTCACTCCCACCCCCCCCTCTCATTTGCTCCTGCATTTTTCAATTTTACAAACACACACACACACACACACATGCATGCCCACCCACGCATGCACACACACAGACACACATATACACAGCACACATGCACAGACATAGACACAAAACATGTACAAGTAAAAAGTGTAACTCCCATGTCTTTGTATGCATTGACAATCAACCACAACCAGCCATCTCCAGTTCTTGAAAGACATAGCACCAACCTCATTGTAACCATCACTGTAAAATGGTGAATTGGTACAGTCTGTGCCGGCTATAAGCACGCCGGCTTAAAGCACGTTTCGGACTCAAGCACGCTGAACGGCTCTTACCGAATTTTTGCTATATAAATTACACGCCTTTAAGCACGGTAACTTCGGCTTCAGGCACGCTTCATTACAAGACAGTAAATACTTTTATGATGACCCATCGAAGTTCGAACACAGTCTACACCGCAGCAGTGGAGTGTGTTAAGAGAAACACAGAGAACGCAAGAGATAGAGACACACACTCACACGGGCGGAGAGGAAGGCAGAGAGATGAACACAGCCACGCGCGTGGACATAGGATCTAGCCTAGGGCAAAGTTACACACTGACTAAAAAATACAAAGAGAGTCAGGGAGACGAGAAAGGGAGGCTGGCTGCGATTTCACTTTTGACCCTCGCTATCCGCTAATCCTGATTGCGTATCATGCGCGAGGTGAGATGAAGGCTGTGGTATGAGTGGCACAGCGGGCAGTGGTACGCACAGGCAGTGTGTAGTGTGTAGGCCTAGTGTGCTGTATCGTGACTGGCTGTCTAAATTAAGTTTTCATTTCCCATTCGACCACAAAACAAAAACAAACAAGCAAACAAAAACTACCATGGCGGGTAAAAATAACAGTGCACACTTTTGCGGGACCGCTATAGGCCTACTTACAAACAATGGGAAATAGCACGAGAAATTTTCTACATGAAAATCTCTGGATTATGTCTACTTTGCACTCAAGCACGCTTCGGATTTAAGCACGTTTATGCTTTCTCCCGATGACCGTGCTTAAAGCCGGCGTGGACTGTATAGGTTTAACACCCCTATCAACAATTGCAGGTTTTTTAAGAGTTGGGACCTCAGAGTTTTTTAACATCCATCTCCGGAAGACCCGAGCCAAATGGGAAATTCATGTAAAGTGCTTTTCCAAGGACACAACGTGAGACCAGGCTGAGGCTCGAACCCCTGAACCCACAATCTCACAATTATAAGGTCCAGTAGTCTAACCATTAGGGCATCGACGCCACCAACCATCAGTGACCCCAGATCAGGTACTAGGTCAAATCAGTTCTGAATGGTGGGGTGTGTGAGTGTGTGCATGTGTGCGTGTGTGTGTATGCGTGTGTGTGTTTGTGAGTGAGTGCATGTGTGTTTGTACAGGAGTGTGGATTTGTGTGTGAGTTTGTACATGAGAGTGTATTTATGTGTGTGTGTGTGTGTGTGTGTGTGTGTGTGTGTGTGTGCGTGTGTGTTGGCGTAGGTGTGACTGTTTCTGTATCTTACCCCCTCACAGTAGCCTGCCACACAGGGCCGACCGTCAGGCAACGGGTGGTTGTTGTCATAAGGAACGCATTCAGCACCTTCGCCGGTACGGCAGCAACGTTGACAAGAGTTGGCCACTGGTGGGATGAGATTACAAAGAAATAGTAAAAGCTCCCTCATTTTGTACCTCAGTATTTTAGTTCTAGTAAGAGTTTTACGGCACTTGCAACATAATCAGGTCATATTAATGAATAAGAATAGATGTGTTACAAGAGAGTAACATACCCAAAAAAGGAGGAGGAGAGATAAGGATGATAGATGTTTGATAGGAAAGAAGAAGCAAACTACACCAGAGCACCCACCAAACACCCGTAGTCAACTCTTGTTCAACAAACAACACTATGTTAGTTAAGTTCGGAACGAGTTTTACAGCACTCGCAAACACAATCAGGTCATATAAGTGCCAAAGATCAGGAACGTTACAAGACAATAATTAACAGAAAAACAGAAGAGAGAAAGAAAACAGATGTTTGATAGGAAAGAAGGAGTAAACCACCACCCGCACAGGAACTAGTAAAAGTTCCCTCTTTCTATAACTCGATCTAATAGTAAAGTCAACTCTGTTCAGCAGCTAACACCATTATAAAGGGGCATGGCATGGCAAGAGTTAAAGGAGAGCATATCAACAACAAAACAGCAAGAGGAGACAAAAAGAGCAAGATTACCATTAGAATTACAGTCATCAATATTCTTTGCCCTTGGCATGAAGAAACTGATTTTGTTTTACATTATATTTCTACAAATCCAGGGGGAAGAAAAAACTACTGAAACTGAAATTCATCCTCAAAATTATCCTCTTGTATTGTCAAAGTGAACACAAAGAGAAATGTATTCCCAAATGGCCTTTAAATGACTGATGCATCTCTCCTCTAGGAATTCAAAAAAAGAGAGAAAGAGAGAGAGAGAGAGAGAGAGAGAGAGAGAGAGTGAGAGAGAGAAACAGACAGACAGACAGACAGACAGACA